TGTAAGCCGCCCGGAGTCCTTCGGGATTGGGCGGCCTATAAATTTATTAAACATCAACATCAAACATCAAACATTTTTTTATCCACTATTGCATTATAATCCCCAATTAAGGAAATATTTTCATATTCTAATTCGTTTATTTTGTTGTGTAATTTTCCATGTAATTTCTCTTGTTTCTGATTTGGTGCATATATGACTATTAATAATATCGTTTTTTCTGTTGTCTCTAATTCAGTCATTAGAATCCTGCGTTCTTCATCAGAGTAAACTTCTTTGGAGTTTATTTTTTTCCTTTATATAGGTTGCTATCCCTCTTTTTTTTATCTGCCAGTGCTGTATATAATTTCCCTAGTGTTTTGTTTTCCAATAGGTTCCTATGTTCCCTTTTAATATGCACTTCCTGTATACAGGTTATATCTACCTTCAGTTTCTTAAGTTTATTAAACATCTGCGCTCATTTGCTATTAATTTAAAGATGATTAATCTTGGAAATTAAAAGCAAAATATTCAGACATTCTTGTGCAGCTATAAATTAGTCTGATTGCAAATCGTTTTGCCATTGTATATATTTATCAGTCTGCTTCCCCATGCCTTTGTTTTCATTTGGCAAAAAATAAATTATGAATCATTAGTGAAAATTAATGATGGTGTCTTCAATGTCAGCCAAACCACTGCAATCAAGCAAAGGGCATTTTCCAATCCAAGAGAGAGGCCAGTGCAAACCAACAGCTGTTAGGATTTTGATAACAGGGAAAATAATAATAAATATTGCAGGATTAGTATCCACAGTGGAATGAAGAACAATATTAATAAGGTAACAATTATAATTAGTAAGAAGTTTGTTACACTGAATCAATTATAACAATCAGCTTTGCATGTGAAAGAATTGATTTGGGAAGAAATAATGAAATGTGTGTTATTGTCTGTTTGTGCCATGCTGATCAGATAAATGGACAAGTTCTGTATGGAAAAACACATCAGAATGCATCTTCAATCATCAAATGTGCACCTTCTAAAGTAAAAATAATCTTCATCAGGTAAGAAACATTTAATATCTTAATCTTTTAGTCTTGTCTCATTTCATCTTTCAACTAATGGAAAGGGCATCAAAGCATTACTAAGGATTTTCTTGAATTATATACCTGTTTTCAGAGTTGCAGGTATTAACTTTAGAGTCACTCTGGATTGAGAGGTAGAGATCAATCACCTAAATCAGTAAACAATATATTTTTTTAATTTAAAAAAACCAAAAGTATTATTTAGATACCAAAAGTTTAAAGAAAACCTCCTCCAACACTAGTTCCATAATGTTAAAATTGTGTGCTTTTTGTATGATAGAAACAAAGATGCTGTCCATCAGATGGCTATTTCTCCTGGTAAAACACCGGCATCAGCATCTTCGTCTTCAGGGATGGTTCAGTATGAAGAGGTACAATGCGTATTCAATATTCATCTTAATTTAGTGAATTAAAAATTTGCTACTTATAATGTTTTCCATTGAAAATAATCAAAAGGCAGACCCAGTTTTAATTTAGAAGTAACTTCATAGAGATATTCTTAGTGAATTTAAACGTGGTTCTTTTATAGCTATTGTGAATTTATTTTTAACATATTTATTTTGTTTAGGGGGAAGTGAACATTTCAAGCTCTAATTTACCAATAGATCTGACTTTATATAAGAATGTTCAAAATGTGGAACTACCTAAGGTAAATAGGTGTATTTATGTATTGTTTGTATCTCTAGTCCTAAATGAATTTCTGGCTGTAAATTTCTTTTATTCTGATACAGAAGGTACAAATGAGGTAAACCGCCTCACATTTTATTTATGTATTTATTTACATACACATATCTAGATACGAGTAAGAAAGCATGAAAACATTGTTTGATGTGCTTAAATTTTGCAAACTCTTTTTAAGTTTATGAGAAATGTAAAACCTGAAGTGTGGCTTAGATTTTATCTGTATATTAGTTTGAAAATTTTAACAAACTCTATTTGTGTAGAATTTGCAAAGACTGCAATACTAAACTATCATTTCAACATTGGTTAAACTCTTCAATAACAGTGGTTGCACTTTGTGATTCTTTAGGATCAAGGTGGCATAGGTATTGCTATTGGTGAAGAAGATACACTTAATGGTGTAGTTATTCAGAACTTAACAGATCATGGTGCAGCAGGAAAGGTAAACTTGACACTAAATATGATAAAAATTTATATTTCCTCCTTTTTGACCTGTGTTAACGTATTTATTTTATTTCAGGATGGCCGCATTAAAGTTGGAGATCAAATTCTAGCAGTGGATGATGAAGTTGTTGTGGGCTATCCTATAGAAAAGGTAATTGAGCAATAACTACCCTAGACAGTTTTTAAAGATTTGCTTGTTATAAGCTAAAATGCTTGATTATTTATTTTATTTTTATTTATTAAATTTGTAGGCTGCCAATCTTATCACAGAGTAACTCTGGGCAGCTTATTAGGATAAAACTATACAAAACAGGCATATACAAAACATGCATACAAAAAAACCCCTGTAAAATATAAATTATCCACTCTTAACTAAAGGTGGGAAGAGACTAGGATGAGCAGGTGGACATGTGGGAATTTACATATTTCTATGGTATTAGATTTATAGCATGGTTCAATTTTTAAAACTCAGTTTTTATCTCACATCTCATTGAAGACACCTGTCCAAGAGAACATGTCAAACAATCAGATAATTGTTAATCAGGGCGAGAATCATTAATGTTTAATGAAATTTAAAATATCTCCTTTCATGAACGAGTGAGTGTGTGTTTGTAATGCGCGCGCGCGCGCACACACACACACACACACTAATTTTTTTAGGTGATATATTGGCAATTATCTCTTGGCAGGGAAAAAAAAACATCTTATAGAAATGGTCATTCAGTCAAATATTGGTTCAAACACATAGGATTTGCTTTCCTTTTAACAACTTAGCTATAATAATTCTGCTGAATATTATACAGCCATATGTTTCTTTGTTGCATGGTAATTTGTCTTGTTCAATATTTCTTATTATTTGTTTGTTATTTCAACAAGTTTATCAGTTTGCTGAAAACATCAAAGCCCAATGTGAAACTCACTATTAGTTCAGTTGAACCGGAAGGTCTGGCAGTTCCCCAGCCACTATTGTCAAATTACAGCACCACTTTGAGTGAGGGAACCAATATCCAGCCATTACCAATTGTTCCATCATCAGAGTCACCAGAACCAGAGTTAATTAAAAGTAAGAATTTTCATTTACTCCATGTTAAAAAAAACAGTGCATTGTGTTCATATCAATATGCATGTAGGTGCATAAACACCTAATTATTGAATCAGTCATTAGCCTTTACGTCAATGACTTAGTGCCTCAAATGTCCTCCTTTGTAAGATTTAAGCAAATTATATAGAAATCAATATGGTTAGGTTAGGTTAGGTTAGGTTAGGTTTATTGGTTTTGTATGCCGCCCACTCCCGAAGGACTCCGGGCGGCTCATAATAAACAGGGGAGGGAATAAATAAGACAATACAAACAATTTTAAAATCCACAACAGTCACAATTAGGACGGGGCTGGGTGCTTTAACAGCCCCCAGCCTGCTGGAACAGCCAGGACTTAGTAGCTTTACGGAAGGCCGGGAGGGTAGTAAGGGTCCGGATCTCCATGGGGAGCTGGTTCCAGATGTCAATATGTTCCTTTTGGCCAATGTATTGTGTTTTAATTTTCTTCCCCTTTCTTCTTTTTGGCCTTTTTGATTCAGCTAATATTCAACTTGTGACCACAATTGACCCCCAACATTTCTGTTGCTAAACAAGAGAGTTGTTAAGTGAATTTTGACCCATTTTAAGACCTTTCTTGCCACATCTGTTAAGTGAATCACTGCAGTTGTTAAGTAACACGGTTGTTTAGTGAAACTGGCTTCCCCACTGACTTTGCTTATCAGAAGGTCGCAAAAGGTGATCACATGACCCCCGACACTGCAACTGTCATCAATATGAGCTAGTTGCCAAATGTCTGAATTTAGATCATGTGAGTGAAAACGGTCATAAGTCACTTTTTTCAATGCCGTAACTTTGAACGGTCACCAAACAAACTGCTGATGAGAACTATTTTTATAATTAATCAAATGTTAAATAGAAATATTTGTATGATTATTAAATGTATTCAAATTGTAAGATCAATGGATTTGTCCCATGGTCAACTGTGGCTCTGTAATGGTTTGACATACATTATTATATTATTGTCTGCTGTAATACGGCAGAAATGTATCTCAAAGATGGTATTGATTTAAAATCAAAACTATATTGAGGAAGTGTATACCTTGTAGTTATTGATGCCAATTCCACTGAGGACATATATCCATGGAGTTAATAAATCCCAAGTTATGCGGTAGCTACTCCCAACATGACTTGCAAAGTGGTACTCTCGGTGTAAAACAACAAACAAGGTACATTAGATTATAACCAGCTCCTCTAATTTGTGTTTTTAGATGCAAGCAGGTCTTCAACTCCAGCTATGTTAGCTTCTGACCCAGCCACTTGTCCAATCATCCCAGGTTACGAAACAACAATCAGTATTTCCAAAGGACGTACTGGTCTAGGGTTGAGCATTGTGGGAGGAGCTGACACATTACTGGTGGGTAAAAATTATTTCTGTAATCTTTATATAATCTCTGGCTAACATTTCTAACACAAAAAACCGTATCCCGCTGAATGTAATGCCACTTATTCTCAAATATGTGGGTGTAAGATTACAATGTGAGACCTATATAAAATGACTTGAATAAATGAATTTAAATACAAGGTGCCATATTTTTTTGGAGTATGACGCACCGGAGTATAAGACACACCAAGGTTTTGAAGAGGCAAATTAAAAAAAAAGTTTTTGCACTCTGCAAACCTCCCAAAAATGGCCCGTTTTTGAGAAAAATGAGCCCGTTCCCCCCCCCCAAAGGCATGAATAGCCTTTAGGGGGCTTGCACAGTGCTCTTGGGGGTGGGTGGGTGGAAGAAGTAAAAAATGGTCCATTTTTTCACAAAAACGGGCGTTTTTTATAAAAAAAATTGGGCATTAGGATAGCTTTTAGGAAGCTTATAGAGTGCTCATGGGGCATCCCCAGTCCCTGGATGAAGCTGTCTACCTGGATCCATTTCAGTCGGGTTTCAGGCCCGGATACAGCACGGAGATGGCATTGGTCACGTTGGTCGATGATCTCTGGCGGGCCCAGGACAGCTGCTCCTCTGTCCTGGTCCTATTAGACCTCTCAGCGGCTTTCGATACCATCGGCCATGGTATCCTACTGCGATGACTCGAGGAGTTGAGAGTGTGGGGCACCGTTTTACGGTGGTTCTCCTCCTACCTGTCGGATTGGTTGTAGTTTGTGTTGACTGGAGGGCAGGGATCGACCCTGAGGCGCGTCACTTGTGGGATGCCCCAGGGATCGGTTCTCTCACCCCCCCGGTTCAACATATATATGAAACCACTGGGTGAGATCATCCATGGTTTTGGGGCACGGTATCATCAATATGCTGATGATACCCAACTTTTCATCTCTACCCCAAACCACCCAAATGATGCCCTCGACATGATGTCCCGATGCCTGGAGGCTGTGTGGATCTGGATGGGAAGGAACAGGCTCAAGCTCAATCCCTCCAAGACGGAGTGGCTGTGGTTTCCGTCATCCCGATTTGTGCATCTTGTTCCATCTTTGATGATGGGAGAAATTTTAGCCCCCTCAGAGAGGGCCCGCAATCTGGGTGTCCTGGATACGCGGCTTAGTTTAGAAGAACACCTGATGGCCGTGACCAGGGGGGTCTTTTACCAGGTTCGCCTGGTATGTCAGTTGTGCCCCTTCCTGGATCAGGATGCTCTGTGGACAGTCACTCATGCCTTCATCCTTTCTCGCCTGGACTACTGTAACACACTCTACATGGGGCTGCCCTTGAAGAGCACCCAGAAGCTTCAACTGGTCCAGAATGCAGCTGCACGGGTTATCATGGGGGCACCTAGGTGCTCCCATGTTACACCCCTTTTAGGCGGCCTGCACTGGTTGCCGGTTGTCTTCCGGGTGCGATTCAAGGTACTAATTATGACCTTTAAAGCGCTCCATGGCTTAGGCCCAGGGTACCTGCGAGACCACCTACTGCCATCGGTAGCCTCCCATCATCCAGTATGATCCCACAGAGTTGGCCTGCTCAGGGTGCCGTCGGCCAGACAGTGTCGGCTAGTGACCCCCAGGGGGAGAGCCTTCTCTGTGGGAGCGCCTTCCCTCTGGAATGAGCTGCCCCCGGAGCTTCGTATAATCCCCGACCTCCGGTCCTTCCGACACGCCCTAAAAAGTTGGCTTTTCCAGCAAGCCAGCCTGGCCTAAACAAAACAAAATAAATTATTGATCACTGTTAATTTTAATTTGATTTTTTTAAAATGTCATTGTCAATTTTAATTGGGTTTGGGATATTCTATTTAATTTTTTTTTTACTTTTGTATTATGTGTTTCTTTTAATGTTGTATGCCGCCCTGAGTCCTTGGGAGAAGGGCGGCATATAAATCTAATAAACCTAAACCTAAAATTGAGCAAAAACGCACCCGATTTTTGCTCATTTCTGCCCTCCCCAGCCCCCAGGAGCTCTCTGAAAGCTTCCTAGAGGCTCTGCAAGGCCATTTTGGTGAAGGGGGTGGGGTTTCGAGAGGCAAAAAGATGCTGTATTCAGTGTATAAGAAGCACTCAGTTTTTCAGCCTCTTTTTTGAGGGAAAAAGATGTGTCTTATACTCCAAAAAATATGGTATGTTATTGGAAGCAAATTTAAATCCATAACTACTTAAATCACTAATATCTTTAAAAATGGGACATCTCTGTTACAATTAATTCCTATTCATTCCTAGTTCTATTAAATATTTTTTATATTTTTAAATTCATAAGTTACTAAAGTTTTTAAAGTGTTAGATTTTTTCTTTCTTTTTATCATATTTCAACACTTTTCTGTTAATGTTTCTTATTTTTAAGGTATAAATATTTCTGTAAAAATATTTATACCTTAAATATGTTCCGATTTGTAGTATTCATTAAAAGGTACATAATTAAGAGCTCAAGGGGGCCCAGTGGCCTAACAGTTAAGACACTGAACTTGTTGACCAGAAAGGTGGCTGTTCGAAATTCAAGCACCATGTGATAGGGTGAGCTCCTATTACTTGCCTCAGCTCCTGCCAACCTAGCAATTCTAAAGCATGCATATGCAAGTAGATAAATAGGTACAACTTTAGTGGGAAGGTAACAATGTTTCACGTGCTTTAACGTATAATCATGCTGCTCACATGATCATGGAAGCATCTTTGGACATCACTGGCTCCCTCGGCTAGGAAACAGAAATTAACACTCCCGTAGAGTTGGACACGACTGCGGAAACCTATTTCTTTTTTTAAATTAAGATCTTATTTCTCTTTTTCCTTTCTGTTCTTAGTGCATTTCCATCTTTAGTTTCTAATAATACACTATAGCAGGGATAGTCAAGCTTTTTATACCTACCGCCCACTTTTGTATCTCTGTTAGTAGTAAAATTTTCTAACCGCCCACCGGTTCCACAGTAATGGTAAATTTATAAAATTTATAATTTATAAAGTAGGGAAGTAACTTTACTTTATAAAATTTATAAT